TAGATCGCATGTAAGTAAACCCTGAAAGGACTCGTCTTGTTTGTGTAAAAAAGCTTCAAGTTGGAAGATCATATTCTCCAAGCATACGCCACCTTTTCACAGAGTTTTCGAACTTTGTGTTCTGTCTGATGTTTCCAGATGTAGTTCGGCCATAAATGTTATGTGCTTCTCTTGCAGTACCGGGGGGCGGGGGGGAGAGGCCTCTCTCGAAGATGAGGGTGTGCCCACCGAGGCGACTTCCAGGGGCACAGTTGGGCTTGTGAGAACTCTGATATCTTTCTCATCAGGTCCAGTGGGAAAAGCACGACCCACAGGACTAGGCCTGCCCTTGCAGCCCACATGGATCAAGCACTTCCACTGCTCCAGGCGCCAGGCTAGCTGTTCGCCCAGGGGACCCCTCCCAGGCTCCCATCTGTCGTGCGAGGCTCCCTGCTGAGCCCTCTACTCACAGGCATTTGTCCTGCGATGCTTGCAGCAAACCTGCAAGGCCCACATTCCTGATCCCGTTTTGCGATGCGGGATTTGAGGCTGAGAGAGTTTTGATAACTTGCCCGAGCTCACAAGGCCACCCCTCAGTGGAAGGAGACCTCACCCCAGTTCTGCCAGCTTCCCACTCCTGCGCTCCAGCTGCTGTGTCCCCCAACATCCGTCACGCGGTCCTTGCAGCCACCCTGGGAAGCAGGGACTGTTCCAGTGAGGAAGCTGAGTTTAAGTGACCGGCTCTGGACCCTAAATCTCTTGAGTAACTGGCTCAGTGCTCCGACCCAGACCCTCCTGTGATCCACCCTCACATCCAGAGCCTCTATTTCTTCCCTGGGCTAACTCGCCCCCTTGGACGGTGTCTTCAAGAAATTGAACACAGTGATGGACAGACAGACAGACAGACAGACAAAAACCCTTGCTTCCTACACCAGTGCTTGACATTTCCCACTTGGCATCGTTGCGTTCCCTTGGATACCTTAGGAAGGGAGTTTCAAGGTAAATATGTAGCAGGTGAAAGAAGCCGATGTCTCACTCAGAGTTCCGAAACCTGGGAAGATTCTCCTTTCTCTTTCAGTTAATCAGAAATTATTTGGGAGAAGTAAAGACAAACCCAGGGTAGCGATGACAGTTAGAAAAAGCAGGCCATTCCTATTTTCATGCTAGTAAAACAATGTAGTTTTTAAAATCTCATAATTGTTATTGTAGATATTAAACCAGTCCCAAAAGCCTCCATAGTGGTGCTGGCAGGGTTTAGTGATGGTGGTGGTGGAGCAGTGTGGTGATAGTAGCGATAGTTGACCTTTTGTTTTTCTTTTTACCTTTTGACCCCCTTTACCCATTTCTCCCACCCCACGCCCCAACTCTGGCTCTTTGTATCTATGAGCTTGGGGTTTTTTTGTTGTTGTTTGTTTGTTTTTCTGGTTTTTAGATTCCACTTGCAAGAGAGATCATGTGGTATTTGTCTTTCTCTGTCTGACATTTCACTGAGCACAGTGTCCTTGAGGTTCATGCATGTTGTCACAAATGGCAGGATTTCATTATTTCTTATGGTTGAATTTTGTGTGTGTGTGTGTGTGTGTGTGTATATATATATACACACACACACACACATTTATATTTGTGTATATGTGCGAATATATATATATATATATATATATATATATATATAAAATATGTGTGTGGGTTTATTTCTGAGCTCTCTATTCTCTTCTGCTGATCTATGTGTCTGTTTTTTCTGCCAAGCAAACTGTATTAATTACTATAGCTTTGCAATATAGTTTGAAATCAGGGAGCATGATGCCTCCAGCTTTGTTCTTCTTTCTCAAGACTGCTTTGGCTATTTGGGGTCTTTTGTGGTTCCATACAAATTTGAGGATGATTTGTCCTATTTCTATGAAAAATGCCACTGGAATTTTGATAGGGATTGCACTGAATCTGTAGATTGCTTTGGGTAGTATGGATATTTTAACAATATTGGTTCTTCCAATCCATGAGCATGAAATATCTTTCAAAATATTTTTGTGTCTTCCTCAATTTCTTTTATTAATGTCTTGTAGTTTTCAATATACAAGTATTTCACCTCCTTGGTTAAATTGGGAAAGGGGAAGACCTTTTTAAAAATGCAATTCAGTTTATTTACTGTCTTACAACTTACAATTCCAAAGTCTTTACTATGTCACATTTTCTTGACCTGTTTGTTGGCATAATAGCTTTATTAGTTCAAATCAAGAGAGAGATCACATGTTCTAACCTACCATGGCAATGCAATATTTAGCTCTTATTTGTAGCTGGAACTCAATACTTTGGTTCCTCTACATCTGCTGGGTATTACCTAAACTTTGCAGCATCTGCTCAAATCTGTGCTTACCTGTTACTTTGTAAGGTACCTTGGTTTTCCATCTCTCACAGTTACATTCCAATGTTTGTGAGAGGCCCTCTTGGACGCCAGTCCCTCCTGCTTGGCCAGGTTACCCTCGGGACCTGCCGTAAGTGACCTCAGAGCCATCTGCCCTCTACCTTGTAAACCAAAGGGACGCTCTCATATTCACCATGCTTTGACTTGTGCTTAAATTCTGATGGGCCAGACAATAGGCTGGGGAGGGCGAGAGCTCTCAGGGCGCAGCCTGCTTATCCTGCCAGCCTCTCGAGAAAACCTCCCTTTGGAAGGTGTCAGCGGGCCCCGTGGGCTAACTTCCGAGAGGCACATTCTACCTCGCACATTTCACCTTCAGCTTCCTCTTTCAGCTCACCGTCTTCTGAATCCTCAGGAGGCACAGTGTTCTAGGCAATTGTTTTTCTTCAACAGATAGACTGTCTCCCCACTTGAGAAGCTGCTGGGGGCTTTCAGCTTCCTACTCTTCACAGCCTTTTACATTTTTGCACACTTTTGAAGTTCCCATTATATGCCTTCTCAATCTCTTCACTCATGAACATTTCTTCTTCGGCTGTGTTTGATTTCCTTTTCCTGATTGGCTTTTTCCGTGATCCCTCTGTTTGCAGTCTGGTGATGACTCTCCACCATCGAGGGCATTTGCTCAGGGATTTCCCGAGCTCTGAGCTCTGCCACCAGCTCCCATTGTATGAGAAGCCTTCACCCACCCGCTGACCTGTGCCGACCACGGAGGGGAGGGAACACTTCCTGGGGTGGCTGGGACCCTCTACCCCTTCACCACCATCCACTCTCCTGCTCTGGGTGACTTTGATTCCTGTGTGTCCCTAGGAACAGGGAAATCACCTCCTTTGGTTAAACATGGGGCAGAGGTGACAGTCAGAAAAAGCAGTCACTCCTATTTCTATACTAATAAAACAATGCATTAAAAAAAATCTCCAGAGAACATTGTGCAATCTTTATGGTTATTTCGGTTTTTGGCAAAATTATTTTCTTATTACGAAGAACTCACCATTGCCAGGTCGGAAGCACCATGTCGTCTGAGGATTTTCCACGTATATATTGCTTTGCTGGGGTAGAAATTAGTCATTATTCAAACGTTGTTTCTTTGAAATAAAAGGCCAACAGGTATAAGAAACTATGCTAAGTACTTTACAAAGATCACCTCTAGTCCTTAGAACATTCCTACAGGGTAGAGTAATATCCACTTTACAGCTGAGGAAACCAGAGGCTCAGAGAGGTTAAATAACTTGCCCAAAGGCAGGACAGCTAATAAGTGACAGGGCTGGGAAAGGAACTCCAATATTTTAATTCCACGCCAGAGTTAGGGCTCTTGGCTCAGTGGCAGGTGGGTCTCCTTGTTACTACACCAGATGGTTTTCACAAGCAAGACAGAGAGTAAGAGGCCAGGCTTGCTTCTGAGTCCCAACAGAGCCGTGGAGGAAATTCTGGTAGGAACATTCAAAGGCACTAACAGCCAGCGTCTTTCTAACAAATAGTATCATGGACTTTGGGGTCACTTCGAACACATCACTGATGCCAGGACGGCAGGCTGATGGGCACAATTGAACATCACAGTTTGGACAAAAAAACCTGTCTTAACCTGTCCGTGTCTGCTTCTAGCTCTGTCTTTTCAAAGTATTATACACGAAAGCCAATTTTTCTTACCCGGTCACGCATCTCCGTTTATCCTAAAAACCGCTTCCAGAAACTAGGAGGTAGGTCCTGGATGCTAGGTTTCATATGCTGAGCCCGTCATCGGGGAAGATGAATAATGAACCAGTTTGCAAACTCGGTGTTTGCCTTTGGAAACTTGTGTCTTAAATATTTAGTGACAGCAATCTCGAGGCAAAGGGTCCGTTTCCCAGGGGAACACATTTCATTTCTTCACTTTTGTGCAGAAGCTGCCCTTTGCTACAGAATGAGACACTTCAGGCTATGCATTTCTGGGCAGTTACAGCATTTCTCAGGTGTGCAGAGCCAGGGGTCCATCGTTCTGAAGCTTGCCGGGCTGAGTTTCAAATGCCCCGAGCTCACCTCCCCACAGACCTTCAGGGCCCTCGTCAGGGCTGGCACCTTACACTTGCTCTTCTCTTTGGACACCTTTTTTCTTTCCCAGTTGAATGAAAAAGTGCATGTCTTTTGTCTTTTTTTTTTGGTTTCAATAAAATTCCAAAACAGTGCCATCAGACCCACCTAGAGGTACAATGAGAATCCATCCAACGCACCCGTGGGAGGAGGCCAAGGAAAGGAGAATTGCCAAGAAAAGAATATGATTTGTTTCAAGGGGCAATCATTAAGACGCTTATAAGTCATTTTCAGAAATGATCGAAAGCCCTAAACAAACCGCTGGATAGCATTTTGTCAGTAACACCGGGGTCCTGAGATGCAGGATGTCATAATACAGAGGCACAAAGATGCAAACTAGCTTTTTTTTTTTTTAAAACAATCACATTTGCCATGTTGCATTTCACACCTAACCTTCCCCCTCCCTCCCTCCCTGTCTCCTCCCAATATAAGCTGGAAAGCCCCCACAAACCCAGATCATCAGTGGGCTAGAAGCATCAATTATTTTTATAGCTGAGGTTCATAACGGGTGGCAAAACTGTCCTCCTGTAATGGGAATATCGATTCCACAGTTTTGTTGGATGTCAAAGCACACTGTTCTGCACAGCTGCTGCTGAACGGGTGCTTGTCGTCCACGACCAACACCTGTTAAGCAGTCAGCACCAACACTTCCTTCCAACCTTTGACAACCACCCTCGGGGCAGGCAGACACAACTGCTGAATTGCGTATGAAAATTGTAGTTTTATTGTCTATACAACTGAAGGTTTAACTCGGACTCCTGCTTCTTTCGGAACTGTATAAAGAAGCAATTCTTCTCCTAGAACAAATAAGCACAGTACACTATTGTAATCTAAGAAACAGGCACTATTTGTGTATTGGAAAGCCTTGCTCTCAATAGGGCTACAAGTCCAACTGCCCATAAGCCACTCTTTTAGCAGCTGTAGAAAAGTGAGCCGTAGAAGCCACAGATAATGAGATGCTAACAGCAGCAGAGACAGATGATCAAAAGGCTAGGAGAAGCCTTCCTCGAATCCCAGCTGTTCCCACCACTAATTTAGCAAGCACGACTCATAGGTAGGGACCATGTATTTGATGTTGATGAAGGCGTCTTTTCCTCCAGAGCGCTCGAAGGCCTCCAGCGTCTCCCGGATCAGGTCACCGATGTTCTCCCGCTTCTGCTGGCTGTAGTCGATGCCGTCCCCGGAGTTTACTGGGTCATGCAAACACACAAAGAGGCCCGTTATTTCGCTGCATTTTCCCGAAGAGTCCTACACACGTGTCTAGGCATTTTTCTCTGAATGCTTGTCATGAGACGCAAGCAATTAACATTCTTACACGCTTCTGTAGAGTTTTAGGAGTGGTGACAGATATACAAAAATACAAAGTCCTAGAATGGAGCTGATGAAAATTCATCTAAACTAAAGAAACCAGAGAGTAAATGAAAGTGAGGTAATCATGGTTACACAACAGTCCACAAGTCAGGGAAATCTCTTTCCTAAATCTGGTAATTACATCGAGAGTGTCCTCTTGGACCTTGACTTCTTCAGAATCCCAAGATGGCATATTTAGAGGGAACCGTCCATCACCAGGTTAGGGTGCTGGCTCTATGTGATTTCAAATGGACATACTTTGGAGTGAGGGGCTTAGCCCGTGCCCACGTCTGCAGCTTCTGTACGTGGGGTGAGCCCCACTCCTCCAGGTATCACTAAGCCAGGTGTGCAGCCCTCTGACGGCATCCCCATCACTCCGGATGCAGGTGGGGAGGAGGAAACAGCCTCTCCTGCCGGGGCTGCTCCTGATGCCTCCCTGAATGCTTGGATGCCAGCCATCCGTTATGGCTTCATAGAGATTGGTGCCACTGCTGGTTTTGGAGTCTAAGTCCAGGCAGGCGGTCCACCCAGGGGGGCACCGGGAGGACCCGACCGAGGTCTCGTCTCCCAGAGCCCTGAGTGACCACTCAACTGCCTCTCAGACTCTGAGGGAAGGGGGTCCTAGGCGTGGCCTTCGATGGCCTCGGGGTAGGGGGGGAACCTGGGTCTGACGTGCATCACCATACACAGCCCGGTCTCAAACCATTTGGATGAGAAGTATCTGATTCTGCTCCACCTGTGAGGTTACCCAAGTGCATGGGGTCAGCCCCAAATGGGAGACCCTCTAATTCAATCCAGAGCATAAAAATTCCACAATTTTCTTGAATAATAGTCATTACATGCATGTAAGTTGCATTTCCCGCCCAGACTTCTAAGGGTTTCAACACTGTTTATTCTCCCAGTAAGTGAGTCACGTCTGTGCCTCTGCTGGCATTACCCCCACCTGACCTGTGATGAAAGGAAAGGGCCACAGGGTGGGCTGAGAGGCCCCGGAGGCCTCAGGATAAACGGCCTGAAGGCTCAGGCCATGGGATGCTGCAGGGTGAACGGCTGCAACTTGAAAATGTGCCCTTTACCAGATGAAAGTGTTTATTTTATTCAGATTTCAATGTAGCTCCAAATGCTTATCTTGCTTCAATGTGAAAATAATAGAGAGAAAAACGGTATTTCAAAGTTTTTTTCCCCAGTTGTTTTGAACATTTTAAAAAAGATGGAGTAATGGTTTAGACCATTAATAAAGGTAACAATTACAATCGCACACAGCATAGATAAGCAGGGTTTGTGCTTGATTTTCCCAGAAACTTGTTAAAGAAATATCACTGTCTTCTGTACCACAGAGAAAAGACATGGCTCTCCTGACTGGTTTCTTTTGGTGGGGGGTGAAGGCAGGCAGAAATATTACTAACTTTCAGAAAGAGAAAGGCTATGAGTCGCACAGTTACAGTGCATATCAATTTTTCATAACCAATGAACTTACAATGCAAAGCCATTGTAATTAGGTGGACTTTTCCTTTCTCATGGTGGAAGCCTTTCTGCTATGATGGGGAAAGCTGGATTGAAGTCAAAGCTTGATGTACAGAGTAGCTGATCATCTAAAATATTCATACATGATACTTGTACAGGACAAATAAGAGATAAGATGCTTGACCAAAAGGGTTCTTGCCCTGTTGTTTTTGAGCTAAAGGTAAACTTAAAAATATATATAGAGAGACAAATACACACAAATGAAATAGGTTGTTTTTTTTAAAAAAAAAAAGATTTACAGGGATGTCTGAGAAGAGAATCAGTGCAGTTGGGGTCACCCACCAGGGAGGGCAACGAGGTATCCATCCACGTGGAGGGCTTTCCAACAGGAGAAGGTCTTGGGTCAAATTAAGAGAGAAGGGGGAGGAAGCTTGTGTGTGTGTGTGTGTGTGTGTGTGTGTGTGTGTGTGTGTGTGGGAGGGTCGGTCAGGCGTGTTACAGATGTAAAGAAAAGATGCTAAGGAAGAAGGTCCAAGAGAGGGGAGGGCCACAGCAGCACAGTCCAAAACAGGTGCAGCAGGGACAGGGAAAGATAGCGTGTGTGACAAGGGAGACCCGTAAGGAAGGTACGTGTGTGGAACAACGTCAGCTCCCAGGATTCCGATCGGGACCGTGAAGAAGGTACAGTGAGAGGGTCTGGCTGGCCTCTGAGGGCTTCTTCCCTCCAGAGGACATTCCTGATGAATTCCTCCTGCCCACGAAAGAGGTGCACTTAGGGAGGAGCCTGCAGGACCCAGGTTTGCATGGCCAGCCGAGCCCACGGCACAAACACCCTGGGGGCACATGGAAAACGTAATTGGTGATGGTGCCCAGTTGTGACAGCCTGGATCCAGTTCCTGATGGACAAAGATACGTAAATTAATCACTAATAAATGGTGCCTTTTGTTGGCATATTAGTCAAAAGGTCAAGAACTGAATAGATCACGGGACAGACTTATTTTCCTGATGGGGGCAGAGGGGGGTGGAAAGTCTGCACACAATGGAAAGCTTAACACACCCTGTTTTCCCCACTGCCTTCCAGAATGCTATAATGACAAGCAACACTTTATTTCAATAATAACCTATTCTTACTTTTTAAAAAATATTTAACTGTAGGAGTAAGTAAACTATGTAGCTTTTTTGTTTCCCAACAGTGTATAAAGCAAATGATAAAAAGAACAGAACAGAATAACAGTTGCTTGTTCAAAAAGGGAGTTGGAGTTGGAATATTTTGTGGTTGCAGAATGTGTATCACTGGGGTAGGAAAAAAGCCCAACAAAGGCGCACATCCCTTCTTTTGGGTGCTGAAATGATGACCAGGCACAGTTTAGTGTCAAGCCATGTTGAGAGGCAGGTGAGCGGTGTGGTCTTCATTTCAAAACTGCTATATTGTCAGGTTTTTTTAGAATCTGAGCTTGAGGTGATTAGCTTGAGCTCACCATTTAAGATACATATGACACTGTTGGAAAACATATTTGTGAGAATAGGATGCTTTAAAAAAAAAAAAAACAACCCAGATGGTTATGTACAATTGTCAATTCTGATTAGGAAGGTGACATTTCAATTCAGGAAGCTAGCAGTCTATTTTATGTCCAGCAGCTGGAAAGATACATTGATGATGGAAAAGATATGTTTTATTTATAACCAAACAAATAGGAGTATAACAACGGTTTAAACCAGATTTGGCATTTCTAAAGGGATAATACGCAAATAGACTAGAACAAGGGATTTGGTTTCTCTTCTTAGAGGTCCTTGTGTGCAAGAGGTGGGCAACTACTGTTTGAAAGTCCTTCTTGGTTAGGGATTATTTTAAGTATACTTATTATTCTGAATGTTGAAGTTTTTTGTTTTTTTTGTTTTTTTTTTTGCGGTAGGCGGGCCTCTCACTGCTGTGGCCTCTCCCGTTGCGGAGCACAGCCTCCGGACGCGCAGGCTCAGCGGCCATGGCTCACGGGCCCAGCCGCCCCGCGGTATGGGGGATCTTCCCGGACTGGGGCACGAGCCCACGTCCCCTGCATTGGCAGGCGGACTCTCAACCACTGCGCCACCAAGGAAGCCCCCTGAAGTTGTTTTTGATTATGTAGGCGGTATGTTTAAGCACACACATCCTCATTTTCTACCTAACCCCCTTTAGACAGTCCTAACCTGGATGCTTTCTCTTTCTAGATGCCGCTTTGTTCAGAATTGGGACGTGCGTATCCCAGTCTTTCGTCGGTCAATGGCATGCTCTCAGTGAATGAACTCAGCTCATGATTGTGAAGTGACCATCATGACACCTCATCACCAAGGCCATCCAAAGGGAGCCTGCATCAGATGCACTGACATTTCGCATAGATACGTATCTACAAGGCAGTGGCCACGGACCGGCAGCAGATGCGTGACTTGTAGGATTTCGATGGAAGAGTCTCGTAGCCTTTTTACAATTTCTAGACTGTGTAGAAGCTTTATTCTTTTCCTTTCTTCAGTTACTACTATTACAGGAAAAAATGAAAAGAAAAAAAAAGCAAAGTGGCGAAAAGGAAACTTTTGGTGGCCAGAGCAAGGTCTTCCCAAGTTAGTGCTGAGGTCGGTGTCAATGGCACCTTTGGCCATAGCAAAAAGTGATGTTCTCTCTGTAGCCAGCAGAAGACTAGGCCCTGCCGGGTAATGCGAGATGGAAAAAAGAAAAGCTCTTGCCTTTGGGGAGCTTCTCATCCAGCTGGGGGAGCCTAGCTGGCCACAGTTCCTGTAGGTCACGTGCACACCCTGTGAGAGTCAGTGTGGGCCACGTACCCTGACTGCAGAGCCCTGGCGCCACAGGCCTCTCTCCTGTTCCTTGGGTTCCCACTGGAAACTGTGTCCTGAGAGAAGGCTTATCTGTGTGTTTTAGTCAGACACTTGAGTCCCCTTATCTGAAAACAGGAAGAGCAGTGAAAGGACGTATGGACGCGGCCATAAGAGGCTCAAGGAGAGTTACATTCACATTTGGATTTTTCTGACTCTAGTGTGTTTTTGGTCAATACTCTTCAATGTTAAGCGTATAGATATTGTTGTATGAACAGCAATACACAAAGAAGTTATTGGGAAATGAAAGCATTATTTAAGGCATCGGAAACAGAAAACACATAAATGCTTACTTCGGGTTCTTATTCAACATACCTGAAGTATTACTCATTTGGTACCAATGGATGAAATAATTTATAAACTCTACCTACACTTTCTGGTCATGACTAAGAAGAGCAGTAGGCACAATTTGGGGAAAACTTCCATTAGTTCTGCAGGCGCCTGGCTGAAGCAGCAGCAGGACAGGCTCAGCACGACCACACACTGGAGAGGCAGTGGGTCGGCAGGAAGGAAG